ATATTTATTTGTTTACTTTATTAAACATTTCCTTCAATGTAAGTTGCTTCGTTTCATGTGATAAAACTTTCTCTTTAATTCTATTAAACAGACATAATTTCTTGTTTAGTTACAAAGTTCCGCTGTTCAAGTCCTATAATTGCTGTGTTGAGAATACCGACTAATTTGTCAATCGAAATGTTTTCATTTTCAATAACCTCTGGGTCACTTTCTTCACTATCGGAAGCGAATTATAATGACGAGGAACTTGATTTAAATCATATCAAAGACGGAGTATATCGAGATGAAATACTACACTTAGTATGGAATTATAAACCAAATAAAATAAAAACATCTGCCCTGAAGATAAGGATAGTGCTGACAGATCAACTTCCAATCGGCGGCTGAAATTGATAAACAGATTTCGGATTTCAAAACATACTTTCGCTTTGTAGATACAAATTACATATTAGTAAATATATATCGGAAATTCTATTTGACATAATCTTTCTAATCTATCATAATCTAATAATGACGTTTCTGCCCCCCCCTCTGCCGCAGAGCAGCGTGAAATTGATAAACAGATTTCGGATTTCAAAACATACTTTCGCTTTGTAGTAAATATATACAGTCAAAAGTCGTTAATCCGGACTCGTCGGGACTTCGGCGATTCCGGATTATCGATTTTCCGGATTATAGATCATCAGTTTAAATCTCGTAAGATGGCATGCAGAAATTCTAAAATTAAAAATATGAAACCGTAATTTATGAAATAAAGAACAATTATGATCTAAAGGGTATCAAAATTTGCAAAAAGAAAAAGCTTAATATTTATTTGTTTACTTTATTAAACATTTCTTTCAATGTAAAGTTGTTTAAGTTTTGCTTCGTTTCATGTGATAATACTTTCTCTTTAATTCTATTAAACAGACATAATTTCTTGTTCAGTTACAAAGTTCCGCCGTTCAAGTCCTATAATTGCTGTGTCAAGAACACCGACTAATTTGTCAATCGAAGTTTTTTTGTTTTCAATAACCTCTGTCACTTTTCTTCGCTATTGGAAGCGAATTATAATGACGAGGAACTTGTTTTAAATCATATCAAAGATGGAGCATATCGAGATGAAATACTATATTTGGTAAGGAATTATAAGCCAAATAAAATAAAAAACATCTGCGCTGAAAGATAAGGATAGTGCTGACAAATCAACTTCCAATTCATTAGGCGCCCGCCGCCGAGCAGCGTGAAAATTGATAAACAGATTTCGGATTTCAAAAACATACTTTCGCTTTAGATCCTTTACATATTAACAATATATATCGGAAATTCTATTTGATATAATCGAAAGTTTAAGCTTACTTTTATAAAATTGCTCTTACAGTCTGCAAAAAATAATAAGCCGGATGCAATTCGAAAATTAAGGAAACAACACAATCATCAACATTAACTGAAATAGATAATAGATAATTTTAGCTTATACGTCCATTATACATAAAATGCGCACGCGAAAACGTATTCTGCACTTGCGCACACTCATATGCGCAGTCGTAAAAGGTCTTACACGCACGCGTGAACGCCTCTGCGCATGTGTCAACGTGGCGCATGCGCAGAAAGTTTTTAGTTTTGATGTCCGGATTATAGATCATTCCGAATTATGGGTGTCCGAATTAACGACTTTTGACTGTATCAGAAATTCTATTTGACATAATCGAAAGTTCAAGCTTACTTTTATAAAATTGCTCTAACAGTGCAAAAAATAATAAGCCGGATCCAATTCGAAGATTAAGGAACAACGCAATCAGCAACATTAACTGAATTAGATAACTTTAGCTTAGCGTATAACTCCGTTACACATTAAACGCGCATGCGTAAACGTATTATACGCATGCGCACATTCGCATATTCCATAAGGGTCTTACGCGCTCTCGTAAAAATCCTGTGCACATGCGTCAACGCGACGCATGCGCAGAAAGTTTGTAGCTTTGAGGTCCGGATTATAGATCATTCCGGATTATGGGTGTCCGAATTAACGACTTTTTACTGTACTCGTATTGTTTAATTTGAATTACTGTTACTTTGAATTACCTGTACTGTACTTTATGACTTATGCTGTGATTTAAGTGCACCAGTTGACTCACACTGTCTGTATTGTATGCATTATATATATCTCTAGGACTTAGGTTAAAGCCAGCTCTTTTTCCCTTTCTCAGCTCTCCCAGATGGCATTTTCAGGTCTTTGTTGGAACTCGGCGCACACTTTATCCCATTACTCAAAAATATGATCATAATTTATTAAAAAAATATTATATCTTATGTTAGTTAGTCATCACAGCATTCGAAACAACCTGCGTGTTCGACAAGGGGTAGGGTCCTTGACCCAGGCACCCTGGTGTTACACTGCTTCTAAATGCGGCTTAGCCACTCGGCCAATGGTAGGCCCGAAGTTATTGTTGGGAGAGTAGCACGGTATGTGGATGAGCATTGTTTTGCTGATAAATGGCACTTGGGTTACTTGATAGCACAGGCAGTACAACCACCGTTAAAATGTCATCCACATAACTGCGAGGCATCATGCCTTGACGGATGACTAGAAGTGATTGTGTGTCCCAAAAAATCAGTTCTCCACATTGTTGCACCTTGTGTAATAGCCCTTATGTCACTCTACAGCAATTGCCAGATTGGATCGCTTTCCTTACCATCTCCACACATGTGTGCATTGATCATCATCACTGAGACTAAAGGGGATTCATTGCTGAAGATCACATGCATCCAGTCAGTCACACTCCAGCTTGCCTGAGTTTTTCAAACATCCAATCGATACTGCCTATGATGTAGGGTCTGTGTTAGTGTTGGCAGCATATACCAGCATCAGCCATTCATCTCCAAATGGTTTCACTTGATACCATCGGATGCCTGGAAAGGTGGTAAGTGGCTTTGAATGCTAGAACGTTGTTAATGCAGAAGTAAATGTTGTTATGATTGTGCGACCTTTGCACTCGTTTATATTCCCAGGATGCCTTGACACTTCATTATGGTAGATTATCCCTTCCATGATCCATTGTTGCCAACACCGAGCAACTACTACATCTCCCCGACTGAGGTGGTGCTGATCCATTTGTTCAATGAACCTGCTTCTCTAAGACCTACTATTCGCCCCTTCTCAAAGTCCAACAACTGTTCTTACTGCCACCAGTTATGCCTCAGAGGCATCTCTAGTCACAGTACAGTCCCTCCAAGTAAACAGATTTTTTTTAATAGCCCTATGGCACAAGCAACCATGTTTTTAAATTCTCACAGCTGAGCATCTCATACGTACATAGCACATTTACTCTTGTCTTATTGGTGTCAAAATTTAAAACATTTGCATATCTCTTACAAGACTACATTTCTGCCGAGTTTCTTGATTATTTCTCAATTTCTTCTGAGTGCATATAATTTTTTGTGATAGAGTGTATATTGAGTTAAAATATCTGCTGTCTCATAAAAAAATTATTAAAATTTATCAGTCGTACTCTAACTGTAGAGTGTGCAACAAATATTCTAATTAGGATGAATACAGATTTTAAAGCTTTGTTCAAGAAATCTGATTTATTAATAAAATTGGCATTATTTAATTCATTTTGTATTCATCCACTATAAAAGCTGTAATTATGTTAAAATATGAATATTTTATTAATTTGAAGTGTTACACAGACAACTGATTTTAATATAAAAATTGCTTGTACTAAATATGGACCTACAATAATCCTAATAATAATTGTTCTTTCATATGAGTTTTCTGATATGTAATATGATACTTAGCCTAACATATTAAAAAAAATGTTATAGGATATCAAGCTTAAAAGATAAAGCTGTATTCATTAAGTAAAACTTTGTAGCATTACTAGTAGTAGTTCCTAACAGTTTTCTTTTCTTTCTTATTAATTCTTTGCTATAAAATGTTTTAGAACCATGCATGCGCATATGCGTTTATGCATGCGATAATACCTATACGCATGCAATAATACCTTTACGCATGCACATAATACGTTTACGCATGTGCATTTAATGTATAATGGATGGTATAAGCTAGGCTGAAATTATCTAATTATCTATTTCAGTTAATGTTGGAGATTGCGTTGTTCCTTAATCTTCTAATTGGATCTGGCTTATTATTTTTTGCAGACTGTTAGAGCAATTTTATAAAAAGTAAGCTTGAATTTCGATTATGTCAAAAAGAGTTTTCGATTCTGGAGCTTCCAAAGGATCTACAGAGCGAAAGCATGTTTCAATGTACCGCTTCCGATAGTGAAGAAAGTGACAGAAGTTATTGAAAACGAAAAAATTTCGATTGACAAATTAGTTGGTATTCTCGACACAGCAATTACAGGACTTGAACAGTGGAACTGAACAAGAAATTATGTCTGTTTATAGAATTAAAGAGAAAATATTAGCACAAAAAATGAAACAACTTAAACAACTTGCATTGAAAGAAATGTTTAATAAAGTAAACAAATAAATATTAAGCTTTTTTTTTTTTTTTTTGTAAATTTTGATACCCTTTAGATCATAATTGGTCTTTATTTCATAAATTATGGTTTCATATTTTTAATTTTATAATTTCTGCATGCCATCTTACCAGATTTAAATTGATGGTCTATAATCCGGAAAAAACCCTAATCTGGAATCGCCGAAGTCCCGACGAGTCCGGATTAAAGACTTTGTACTGTAGTTCCTAACAGTTTTCTTTTTCTTTCTTATTAATTCTTTGCTATAAAATGTTTTAGAATAAAAAGTTGTATTTCTTAATTCCCCCCTCCCCAAATGAGAATATTGAATTTGACCATTCCTTTTATGCTGCATAAAGTATAAGAAATGTATTTAGTTATTTTGATTTCTTAATATAGCCTAATATTTCTCGTAATCCTTAATTTCTCATGCCTTGTACCTCTTGTAGCCAGATATTTATGTACTCTATTCAGTCTGTCAATAGATGCATCTTTCATTATTATTTATATTCTACTTTTTTTTTCTTTTTACAGAACAGATGAACTTTGCATAGGTACCTTGTTAGGTGTCTATGAAATTGGGAGCAAGTATTATGAAAATGAAATCTATTTTTATGGTAAGTATTTAGATTATTTAAGCAATGCAGTTAAAAAAAAATAAATCTTTATATGAAAAGTTAAGAAACAAGATTTAATCAGATTTAATGGATATGTAGGATATTACCACAAAAAGATTACACAAAGTTTATATTGGACTAGCAGCTGGTGAGTAAGACTGGTTGCAACAACTGATATGGTAATATTAAAGGGTGCTTAGGTATTAATTAGTATAACTATCTTTGTAAAAATCACAGTTTTTTTTTAGCAACAATGCTCCATAAAAATTCTTCAGTTATATTGTCTTTTTACTGTTTTTGTTATTATTATTATTATTATTATTATTTATTTATTTGTTTCAAGTTCTAATGATTTTTATTGAGAAATTGTGATATACTTTGTCCAAAATTCAATTTTAAAATACGTGCTTTGGGGATTTTCCTGCAAGGGAGGGAAAAAAGAAACTGTATTTTTCTCCAAAATTCCTGAATCTATACTTTAAGTGATTGCCCATTACATCAGATAGAAAAGTATTAGCTGCCCCAAAACCAAAAGTGTGGCTAGGATGAACATTAGTTGTATGGCCTTGTATGTTGTATGGTCAGTGTATTGTAATTTGGCCACAGGTTAATTCCCTACTTAGCAAGTGTTTGAAAGTGATGTGCAAGAATCACAGTTAGTTGAGTGGAAAATCACTCTTTTTGCACGCCTGTTTTTTTTTTTTTTTTTTTTTTTTTTTTTTTTTTTTTTTTGTGAGTTTTGCATTGTCCTTTCGTAGGCTTTACAAGAAAAATAAATTCTCATAAAAAGTATTCTGCTGATTGTCTGGAGATAGGACGTCTGATTTTCAGACCTACTTTGTTTATATATTTAACTTCATAAAAAGTCAAGTTAAGCTGTGACACATATAAGTCGCTAATATTTTGTTTTTTTAATAATATGAAAATTTGCAGAAAGTATAAAAAATTAAGCTTTAAAATTTAGTTTAATCCTCTGAGTAGCATGGTAATTTAGATCTGTGTGTGAAAAGCTGTATTTTAACAGCATTTATTAGCCATTATTATATAATTGCATATTTTAATCTTTGTTTTCATAAGCTTTCATTCATTGGAACGATATTTAAATTGCTGAAGAAACTAAGAAAACAAAATATTTTAAGTAACAAAGGAATATGTACCAAGTATGACAAGTTTCCTGACGAGATAAAAGTGATCATTCTACTTAAAGGACTAAAGTTTGCTTAGCGCTTATGTTTTTACCTTAAAAAATGTGAAAATCTCTTAAAATAGATATTTAAGTTGCTGTTAATTCTGCATTTTAGATTTTAATCATTATAAACATGTGGTTTACATAATTTTGATTTTCAGTACTTTTATAATATGTGGCATTAAATATTGTCTTCCATTGATTTTCTGATTTATAAAGAATAGAAATTGTTTTCAATATTAAGATCAGATTTAGAATTTGAATAATCTTTTTAACATAGCCTTTTAATTTAGAAAGTAATTACTATATACTGTTTTAGCCGCATAAGAGTACATATGATTTTTTCTTTTTATTTGATTAACTACTTTCCCTTTTATTTTGTACTGCAGAAAGACAAGTCATGATTCTATTTATATTTGATTAATTGTATATAATATCTAAGTTAAAATATTTGGTTAATCTTTACTGTACGGTTCCGTTTGGCGAATCGTTGATTTTTTGATGCCAACATGGGTGCCATGAAGGATTCGCATCAATTTCAAGATGGTGTCCATCCTTCCACCCCCTGTAGAAAATCAATACAAGAAATCACTTACACAAACTCGGTGTCCATGTACACATTGGCCTATTTTAACTTCAAGAAACATAAGAGAATTGTATAAACTAGGCATTGCTCACTAATTTAACTTTATCCATGTACACATCGACCTATTTTAACATAAAAAATTCAGAGAATTGCACAAACTAGGCATTGCGCACTAATTTCACTTTATCCATATACACATCGATCTATTTTCACTTAAACACATTTGGCAATATTCGCAGTTTTACCCCAAGACTAGTTTTGCCAACATTATCGACATTAGGGTTACCAAAAAATCTACTTCACGCAGCAGGCTTCCAGATTTCATGAACAATCAATAACACTTGGCTATTTTTTCAGACAGAAACCAAGCAGAACTATACAGTAAAGTTCAACCAAATATTTTAGTTAAACAAATGTTACTGTTATTCATATACATATTCAGCTGTATCTGTTTATATGTGAATATCAGCTATTAGCATTGCATAACTGACATACAAAATGGAATTTCATTATAAGTAACAATAATTTATGTAGGAGTTGCAATTCCCTGGTTTAATCTTTCATACAGAGTATCTCAGGAAAATTTCACACCAATTGTACAGATATATCTCGGGAAAGAAAACTACCAATTGTAGAGAAGCTGCTCCCATACAGAAATATGGTACTTTTCCGTTTCGCCGGCGCAAATCTCGCCAAGCAGAATTTATTGGCGACAACATACAGTATACACATAAAAAAATATTAAAAAAATGTTAGTTCTAAGAATTCTTTTTTTTTAATATCGCTTAAAATTATATAAAAAGCCAATAAATAAAGACAATAAATTTGTAAAAAGACATCAATTTAAGAATTTACTATGTTTTCATGGTTCAACATTCTGATTCGCCGGTTCATATCACATGACCCTCAAGCGATCTCATCTCACGTAAACTACTCTACAAAAATCTAATGCTCTCAGTAATTATCTACATTAATTTCAAGTTAAATCTTAATTTGGAACACAAGTTTAAATGCAAGAAATATTTCAATTCATACGAATAGCTTACTCAGAAATTATGTAAAACTGCAGTGCTTTACTTTGCTAATGCATTCTCATTAGAATTGATGAATTTAACCCTTGACTTTACCTTTTCTATATTTTCAGCTTCGGGTAAGCGCTGTGATTGCATCCTAATTGACTTAATTACCGAAAATGGCCTTTGACATAAAACTGAACTATCTGATAAAAAATTCTATGTATTATATGCCAGTATTGAAAGAAAAATCAATCTGATAAGAAAAGCTGCGACTTGTTTTCAAAATGAGGCGTAAAAGATTACCAGCGAGAATATTCCGTTTGGCATCGGTTGTACCATTATTGGCGACTTTATCGCTTGCGCCGGCAAAACGGAAAAGTACCAGAAATATTATACCTATTTTTTTTTAATGTTCTGTTTGATAACCATAATATCTTTCTGCACAGTAATTTTCAATAGGAGAGGTATTTTATCCCATTCCTCTTGAACAGCTTTCCAAAGTCCAAGCAGGGTTGTAGGTCAACATTTGGGCAAATGCTTTTTAAAAGTCCAAAAGCACAAAAATCCATGGGTGATACAATCCAGAGATTTAATAGGATATGAGTGAAGGATATGGCCTTGATACTTGTTCTATTTTTTCAAGAAAATTAACAGTAGATTTTGCCTGTGGCTGCTTGTATTCATTGTCTTGGTGCAATTTTACTGATTGATGGGACTGGGGTTAAAAAAAAAGAGTGTTTCATGTTTGAAAACTGGGTATAAAAATATGTTTCTGAGTGATTTCAACTTTTATCAAGTGGAGTTGATCTCAACTTTTATCTCCACTTTCTTTATATTTCATTTACCATTATATGAAAAACCAGCAGCAGTCATAAATCCCTTTGAAAAACTTTCTTTAGATTCTTTGAACCATGTTTTCATATTTTATCTCCTTTGATGATAATAAATGGATCTCTTTTTATTGCAGTCAATTAAATACACCCACTATTCATCTATTTTTTTTTAATTAAAGAAACACAATAAGTTCCCCATGTACCACATAGTATTACATGGGGCTTACAGAAGTAAGTATGAAACACAATACAAAATAAACAGAAGGAAAAACTGAAATAAAAATTAAGGATGATTACAAAGTTTCACAACAAATTGACAAAAAGTGTTAAAAGCACTTCTCTGGGAAATAAATTGATAAAATTCTGGAGGCCAGTTAAGTTTTTCAGTTCCAGTTTCAAGACTTTTCTTTCGTTCTTATATTTAGGACATAGAAGAAGCACATGTTCAACATTCTCCTCTCCACCGAGGCTACAATCACAGACAGACTTGGACCTCAACTCAAATCTATTCAAATAACTTTTGAAATTTAACTGACTATTCATCTAGTGTGACATTTTTCATTATCCAGATAACATTTCACATATTCCAGATAAATATTTCTCACAAAAATTCTACAGCATGTTCTGCATTTGACGGTATGTCATGGAGAAAGATTAGGCACTTTGTTTTTTCACCTTTTTAAGATTCAAATCAGCATTAGTCACTTTGTTTATAGTTGACATTCAGCATTTTATTGATTTTGAAACTGTCTTTTGAGTTTGCAGATTTTTTTTTTAACGTTAACATACCTTTGCAACATTCCAAGCATTCCATTTTTTTCTTTGAATATGTATTTGGAGCCATTTTTCTACTTGAAGCTAAAATTTGATATTTTTTCCCATTTCTTATTGACATTATTTCCTATCATAGTTTTATATCAAAAATCTATGGCTTTCACAGCATTTTTCAATAATTAGATATGAATAATTTTCTTCGGAAAGAGCACAAACAAAGCCTTTCCCATATTTCTTCCTTAAAAGCACCATTTTGCATGAACACAAGTAGCAGACAATAATTTATACTTTCAGAAATAGAAATATAGTTGCAGTTAAAAGGAAATTTTCCAATTGATGATTTTTTATGACAAAGTAAAATCATCTAAAAAATGTGTGAATGCCCTCTGTATTACAATATATTTTAATAATAAATATTTTTTCAAGAATTAATTTTCAAGTTTGTTTTTAAAAATTGAAAAAAAATTCGTGGAGTTTTAATAATAAAAAAATTATAAATATATTTTTAGTGGTTTATGGACATGATGGATCTGCAATTTTTTTTAAAAGCTTTCAAAATCTTAACAATTCTGTTCAGAAGTGAGATAAACTCATTTTGTGTGGTG